GCACAGAACTGGACACAGTATTCCAGGTGAGGCCTGACCAAAGCAAAAAGATGTCATAGCCACTGATGCAGGATCCTGGCCTCTATTTCTAAATACTCAACTAACCTTTAAAATAACTGCAGTGCTAGAAATTTGGAGGATTAAGGAAAATGTCCATGGGAGAGAAACTTATTTAAGAAGGGGCAATGTCCTCCTTTTGCCACCCTCCCCATAGATATCCCCTGGCTGATGGTCCCCTCATTTCTATACCGCTGAGGGGCAGAAGGAAGAGAGCCCGAGAAAAGGCAGTGTGGCATAGTGGTTTGATTACTGGACTATAACTCTGGAGACCAGGGTTCGATTCCCAGCTTGGCCATGAAACCACTGGGTGAACTTGGACAAGTCACATGCTCTCAGCCTCAGGGAAGGCAATAATCTCCTCTGAACAAATCTTGCCAAGAAAACCCAATGAACCCTTAGTGTTGCCATAAGTCAGAAATGATTTGAAAGCACACAACACACACACACACACCCAATGAGCAGAAGAGTTGAAAAACATTTGATAACCCTTGATGCAAAGAAGTCAGTCTCTAATTCACATTTCGGCCTGTCTTGCTAAGCCAAAAAGCGGCTTGATGTATTCCCCTGGCTAAAAATGGCATGAAAGCAACTGTTTGGCAATGACTTTCCTGCTGTGCTAGAAACTTGCGGCCAAAGCACCAGCTGTTTTAAGCAGAATGTGACCTCCTATCCCAGATTCTGTTTCACTTCAGTCCTCAAGCCTCCCCCACCAGGTTCCAGTTTCTGCTGTCCATTGTGTGTTTCCCTTTGAATTTGCATGGCCCCCAGAACGCAGCCACAGAGTTGACCCCTTTGCACAATCCCTTCTTCATCCATTTCTCATCTTACCCCACCAAGCTACTCCACACCATAAGCAAAGTAAAAGCAGTTGTGTGTCTTCTGCAGGAAAAATTAATACAATTCACAATTTTGTCCAAATACCACAGTTAGGCCAACCAAAAGTGAACAAAAATGTGTACTGATTTTACTACCTCCATATCAGGCATGATGTTACCAAAAGTGGAAGGGATAGGGTTGTCAAACTGGCATCTTTTACTTACCTCAAAGAAGTGGGTATATTTAGTGTTTTCTTCCCAGCACCTGGAATGTACTTGAACATTCAGTGACATCCCTGTGGTTTTGGCAATGACAGAAACAGTAGCAGGTTTGGGGGAACAGTGAGAGGGTGCACCCCTCATAGGCAACTTTTGAGATTTAAATGAATGTACAGCCCATAATTTATGGGGAGCACACCCTCCCGTTTGCACACACAAAAAGAAAATAAACCGAACCAAAACATACCCTCCAACTTCCTGATTTGGCAGAGATTGTGTTGATCAGTCTTCGTCATCCCACTTTCTCAGCTACTTTAAAATGTCCCAGTTTCTGTCTCCTCCTCCCACTTTCCCCCTTCAGTTGTTGCAAATTGAGTGCAAAGTGCAAAAGGAACTTGCACTCAGTTAAGTCAGCAGGAAGAGAGAAGGGGGCAAAATCTCAGTGGCATCACTAGGGTTGGTGTCACTCACTGCGGTCATTCATGGTGCCACCCCCCCATTGACCTCCTCCCATTTCACACCATACAGATTCCTTAGTAATACTTTTTTGCACTAATGTTACTCGTAAATCATAATTCCCATATACCACTGAATGTAATGCTAATAATTGTGACATAAACAACTCACAAAATTAAAATTATACCTTCAAATTACAATATCATACAAACAACCTAAATGTATTTACATATACACAGTGAGGATTTGGTTAAAAGGTAATTTTTTAAAAAAAATTAAAAGAATTTTAAATTTTAAAAAATATTTTAAAATTTAAAATTTCCAAACATTTTAAATTTTTTAAATTTAAAATTTCCAAACATTTTAAATTTTTTATATTTCAAATTTTCAAAATTTGAAATTTTGATTTTAAAAAATTCTGGGGCCTCTCCTTCCTCCTCTCATTGAGCTTCACCCACTCCCACCATCTCTTAAAGCGTTTGAAAGGGAAGCAGGTGAATGCCATGCCTCTTTCTGCCAACAGGTAGGTGTTTGAGGAGCAGTGGTGTCACCTCCTTTTTAGGGTGTCACCTGGTGCAGTCTGCACCCCCCATATCCCCTAATGACACCACTGCAAAATCTTAGCCTTCCCAGTCAGCTCAGGCAGAAGCAAACTGCTGCAGCCTCTCCTAGCTAGTGTGTATTTGTTCATTAATAATTTTCCCCATCTAATGTTGCCTGGTTTCACATGACATGGTTTTCTTCTGAGAAGAGTTAGAGAGCATGGCACACCCCCTGCTGTAATAGTTTTATGGAGATTCAAACTCATAATACTGTCATTACATTGATTTTAATTGCCCCATATCATCACATGTGCTGCTCTCCAGACCCATTTGTTCTCACTGGCCTTTTAAAAAATTCATTTGTAATGAATTATCTTCTCTGGCTGTACAATGACAACCAGATGGTACCCAGGTGCCTCCCCACCCCCAGACAATTTTACCAGACTATGTCATTTTGTCCCATTTCTTTTACCTTCTAAACAATCTAGGGAGGGTGATCTAAAACTAATTAGTATGCAAAGGGATCTTGTAGCACCTTTGAGAATCAAAGGTGCTACAAGATCCCTTTGCATACTGATTTTCCAGACTAACACAGATATGTTTTTAATCTTGCAAGCCACTCGAGTCCCAGTTTTGGGAAAAGGACGGGAAATAATAATAATAATAATAATAATAATAATAATAATAATAATAATAATAATAATAATTTTTTGAATCCTAAAACTAATTGTAAATACATTTTAAAAAAATGTCCCGGCTGGAGGAAGGAATGTAGTATAACAGGTCTCAGCCCCAAAGACCTCAAGTCAAGGCCAGTCCATGCAAATACTTTGGGACTTTGGGTGTGTTTCACAAATTGGTCAAGGAAATGCTCTCTCATCTGCAGAAGTGGCATGATTGGACTGCCCAAGGAGGATGAATGAAAGCCTTTATCCTTATGGGAGAGAAAAAGAGGATGTTTGTGTTCATGTTTGGGCTTGGGTTTTGAAAAGCCTGTGTGTCCATCTGTGTGTGCAAGAAAGAGGGAGAGGGAGAGGATGGGGGGAGGAGGAATAAATTGCATTCCTTTCTGTATGAGCACATTGGACCCTTGGTGGGTTAAGAGTGGTGCAGTTGTTCATCTGTGGGCACACACACATGTATGCTTCTGGAATTAACACAAGGCCCAGATGGAAGGAGTGAGCTACTTGGATACACCACATCCCCTTTCCCCATTCTGGATACAGAAGTTTATTGGGCTGGACTCTTAATTCTGTTTTAGTAACAGCACATCATTCTCCACCATACCTGAGGGCAGGCCAGACTGTAGAGACACACCTTTCACTTCCACAACCTGGGTGCCACTCCACAAATGCTCCGGATCTGCAACCTGAGACCGGAATCCTGTTGTGGTTAGCACTGGCTTAACCCTTGTAATGCCAGCATAAGTCATGTTCTGGGCCTTGCACAGTACTTCATCATACAACACTTTTGCAGCTCCAGAGACAGCTGCAGCCCACGAATGATAGATTGGCCATAGTGTGTGGGGGGGGGGGGTAAGAGCTGGGTACCGTCTGGTTGCTATGTACACCCAGGGAAGAAGAAGCAGCTTTTACTCATGGACCACCAGCATACGCACACTGTTGGCCTTTATGTTCTGCCAATGATCTCATAGGAACGTGGCAGGAGGTAGCCACTTCCCTCTGCCTAATGAAAGGAGTTGGCCTGAATTAGAATAAAAAATACTGTGTGTGAAAGTATGCATATGTAGGTAAATAGATATCTGATCATGTACGTGTGATCTTGTGTTTGTGGCAAAAAGCTAACACTATACACAGTTACCAGGGGGAGAGGGATGAATATGTCCTCTTGAACATCATGGCACTTGCTTCTAAGCAGCTATGTGTTTGGATCATGCTGTAATTGTGCTTTGCGTGTGGCTATAGGAATGCTACTTGTGTGGGGAATATGTGCAAGTGAAGAAGCGTTGTGAAGAGGTGTAGGCGGATGATGATGAGTAATTTTTGAAGGGGGGTTCATCATCAGGATGTGGCAGGTGTCAAGAGGTTTAAGCAGTTCCATCTTTAAGAATGGATACACTTCACACAGAAAGGTGATTTGATAAAAATAAAGAATTCCTGATGGCCTTTGACCTTGCTTTCAAGAATGAAAATTTGCCATGTAATAGATGGAAAGAATTTTGTTGTTGTTGTGTGCCTTCAAGTCATTTTTTTACTTATGGCGACCCTAGGGCAAACATATCATGGGTTTGTTTGTTTGCAAGATTTGTTCAGAGGTTTGCTATTCTCTTCCTTTGAGGCTGAGAGCATGTGATTTAACCAAGATCACTCTGTGGGTTTCATGGCTGAGTGGGAATTGAATCATGGTCTCCAGAGTCCTAGTCCAACACTCAAACCACTAACCCTCACTGGCTCTCAATCGTGGCCTTACCAGGAGCCTGAGGGAACTGCTGGTTAAGTACATCCAAATCACTCCAGTGGATGTCTTTCGCCATTTCATCACATTGTGATGTTTTGTTTTGCTTCAAACCCACTAAAAATAGATTGTTACCTATGTATATGTTAGCACAGTTGTTAGTACTTGGCGAAGAATTCTGTTCTTGAATCCCAAGCTCTCATGATTGCTAGGAAGAATCTGAGGCCCCATTCACCCTTGCGTTTTTGTGTTGGGTAGTTTCGGGCAGATTCATTGATGCAATACTGAACCTGACACAAATAGAAGTTCACACTATGTTTACCCTGATCGAATCTCTCCAGTGAAATTTAACCCTGTCAAGTTCACACTGACCAAAGTACCGATTAAAAATGGAGCCTCCTTATCGATCACATTTGATCATTTTCAGGGTGTGACTTTTGTTCTGTTAGTCAAATGATGCACATCTACATCACATTGTTTGGGCAAAAAAACCCTCATCCTTGGAGGCCTTTTGGAGGAACCCTTGCCATGAAACCCCCAGGAGAGCTTCTCTATGGTTCAGGGCTATGGAATTCCAGGATTTGTACTTTTGTGAGGTAGTCTTCGCTGTCAGAGAACTCTAGTGCCACAACAAACTACAAATTCCAGGATTCCATAGGATGGAGTCATGATAGATAGTTTTCGTTAGATAGTTCTCTCTTTTCTTCCCCTATTTACCTAGAGTGCCACTTGTTTTAATCTGTGTTAGATGCTTCAAAGCCTAGTGTTTTTAATCAGATTTTAATGTCGATTTGATTTAATTTGTTTTTTTTGGGGGGGGGGTTATATGCTTGTTGTATTGTTTGGGT